TTGTGGGAGCTCTTCAGTATGTTACCTTTACTCGCCCCGATATTGCTTATGCAGTGCAGCAAGTTTGCCTCTTTATGCATGCTCCTCGCGAGACTCATTATAAGGCTGTCAAGCGTATTCTTCGCTATTTGAAAGGCACGCTTTCTCATGGTCTTTATATTAAGGCAACTAGTTTTGATAAATTGGTGGCTTACTCTGATGCCGATTGGGCTGGATGTCCGGACACCCGTCGCTCTACTTCTGGCTATTGTATATTTCTCGGGTCTAATCTTATCTCTTGGTCATCGAAACGGCAACCTATTGTTCCTCGCTCTAGTGCTGAGGCTGAGTATCGAATAGTTGCCAATCCTGTTTCTGAAGTTTGTTGGTTGCATTCTTTACTCTCTGAGCTTCATATCCGCTTACCGACTGTCACTGTTGTGTTTTGTGATAATGTTAGTGCTATTTTTTTGTCCACAAATCCTGTTCAGAATCATCGAACAAAGCATGTAGAGATTGATATTCATTTTGTTCGGGAAAAAGTTACTCAAGGCTCCATCCGTGTTCTTCATGTTCCCTCGTCTCATCAGTTTGCTGACATTATGACAAAAAGATTGTCTCATGTTCTTTTCACTGATTTTAGAGACAATCTGAATGTTCGTGTCTCTCCCGTTCAGATTGCAAGGGGATGTTAGTGTATATATATTAAGATTAGATAGGGTTATTATTATAATCTTCTACGTATGTTGTACCCTATATATATGTGTACTAAACATAATACAATACTCATGGTTCATACACTTTCACGATTTACATAGATCGAGAACTATATTAATCAAGTAGCACTCCGGAGAGAGATCAGGAAAAGGAGAGAAATTGAATTTATTTTTGTAGTGAAAGAGGTAAAATCCTGAAAATCAAACTAGAACATTTCTATTGATAACAGATACCATTAGCATCCTTCTCTAAGCTTAGACATAACCCTAACGATACATCAAGTTGACGTTGAAACCCCTCAATTTAATTACTGTCAATAAAGTCAAACAATTTACCACGAATTTTGCCTCCCTGAAAATGTATATGATTGATATATCTATCTATATATATATATATATATATATATCTATATATATATATATATATCACAATCCATCCATTAATTAACCCCAACGATAGATCGTGCCTTCTTCATTCTTTTCATTATGCTGCTTCTGCCACATTATGAAAGTCATCTAATATTGACAATGTATATAAAAATCTACCGATATATGTTGCTATATATTATATTACTTATAATCTCTTATTTATAAAGCATATTTAAATAACAGGACAAAATTAAATAAAAATTAGTCCGTTGTCTCAAAATGGCCTTAGCTTCCTAAATTAGCTCCTCTATCATTGTGTATGTCCCGCGCACCGATAGCCATGAGTCTCTATGGACATTTTGATTTGTCCTAAATTTCATTTATTATGTTTTTTTGAATTAAATATAAAATCTTGAAAGTATTTTGTAATAATAATAGGGAGTTCACAATAAATGAGAAAAAATATTTTTAAATTTTTATTTTCAATTAAAAGAACATACTAAGTGAAATTTATGACAAATTAAAATATTTTATAATATTAAGGGGTATGTTGTTGACCGAGAACATTCTGCAAAGATACACAAAAGAAAGAGCTAAAAAAGATGATTTGGGGAAGTAAAAGATAACGGGGGAAAGAGTATATGCAAAGATACCCATGATAGTTATTCAGAGTTAGTAGTGCGAGTGTAAGATTGTGCACCCAAACACAATATTTATGGTAAAATAGTAATTTTTTGGAGAAAATAATAACCTCTACGGGAGTTTAGAAACAAAATAGAAGGGTGACAGTACTTGTTGTACTAAAAACAAGCCAGACTGAAATTAATAAACATGTCTGAAAAGTATTTTTGCTATTAGAAAATTATGAAAATCATATTAATCAATAGATCATAAGGTGAGTTGACAAAGTAAGTTTACGTAACTCTTGGACCTTTTTCGTAAATGTACATTTTTCCTCTAGTTTCTCGATAAGTGACTCCCCGAAATGTAAATCTAATTTCAAAACACCCATTAAAAGAATGAATAGTTCAATTCTTACCACTTTAAACGTTTAATGTTGTATGATATGGATCAACGACGGAACCAGAAAATTCATGAAAATATTGCAAGATTTACAAAATAAAACGAGAGTAATACTCTCTTATTTTGAAATGATTGTCTAGTTTTAGTATAAATTTCAAATTCAACATGCACTATTTTTTAAAACAGGGATAGCACAATTTATTAGAAAAATAAAAATCCAAAGTAAATAAGTATTTTGTGACAAAACACTTAAAGAATAACTAATAATATCACTATATTTTATGAGCATATGCAAAAATAAGTCTAATTTTTTTTTTACTTAAATTAAACAAGTCTCTATTAAATTAAAAAAAAATGATAAGACACGGTCGCACCTGCTAACCCATCTCTCAGTCGTTGATTTTGATTGAATGCGATGGTGATCATCGTATGAAATGATAGAAGAAATTGTTTCCTGTTGGGTATCTCCACTTTCGTCCATTTAGATGCACAGAAAATCGAAAGATATCTGATGAAATGGAAATCTTGTCTGGCAAACACTCTTGGGTTGGGTATACAGTGTATTAGCGTCAAATTGCTTTTTCTTATGTGCACACTTAAATAAATTATGCTACGTACCTTGCCTCACTTATTCACTTGCCAATCATGGTCTATAAAGAAACTAGTAATAAATAATTGTGTTTATGGTTTCTCTACTTTTATGAGTTCTTCTCGTTGTAGCTTTTACCATTCATTTTACCCATCTAAAAAGTAAAAATCAGTTCTAGTTCTCATTTCAATTTTATCAGATTTTTTTTTTTCGTTTCTTTGGTTGACATTTTATCAGATCTTATCGGATGGACAGCTATATATATAGACGTGTAGTTCCCCGAAAGTGTAAAAAAAAAATGTCAAAAACGATGCTTGTGAAAGTTCGAAATTGAATGTGACTACTTAATTTATTAATATATGATTTACTGTTAGCCAAAAAAGGAAGGACCAAGAAGAAGAAGAAGAAAATCCCGTTCATTTGTAATCTTTTAATAAGGTTCGATTGTTCTATTATATAAATTAATCAATCAAAAGAGCTCTATCAATGTGACAATGTCATGACATGATAGGTAAATTGATACAATATGCTCTCACCTAAGACCTAGCTTCCCATTAATGAAAAATTAATCAAGTTACTGGGCGGCTTTTATAATTTCTTATTCTAGAATACACGCTTTCTGGAGCTTCATCGAAAACCTGACGGGAAACCATTAAGAAGAATCAAACAAGAGTATTTATTAGTTTGGCTCGTCCCATTTGAATAGTTCACTTTGTTCAGTAGGCGATTAAAATGAAAGGAGAAAGTATTATATCGTGATATACCGGAATAGAATAGTCATTTTCCACGAATTGTACGGTGTTGTAAACTCTGAAGAGACGAACAACATATGTCTACTTGAGAGTTTTCAGAATCATGGTAACACGAGTTTTGTCGTTTTGAGTGTGGTCAGTGGTCACTGATCACTGGTCTCAGTCAGTACATGATGTACATGTACTCTGAAGTTGGTGCCAGTATATTTTCTGGCGTTAAATTATAGTAATAAAACAGCCAGTGATCAAAATTAAGCTAGAATTGTAACTATAGATATTGGTAACGTCAAGTTAATCGATCGAAAACGCCGTCCCGGCCATATATGGCAAGTATTGGCAACCGCGGGAAAACGCCGGCTTCTGCCTTCTGGTCCAACTGCGGGGATCAAAACCCTCAAAATTCTTCGCATATCCATCAGTCCAACCGCGGGAATAGGACTGCTTGCTGTCCAAACTGATGAATCGTAAGAAAATTCGTTTGATGGCAACGTTAATCAGACATTAAATCTTACGAAATACTAACTCTATTCCAAAAAAAAAAAAAAAAAAAATCACATTGAGTTTTAACATGTGTACTAATTTCAGTACGAGTTCGAAAACTCAAATCTTAAAACTAACTGTGACACATGCTACTAATAATGTTTTCCTTTCTAAACGGATCAAGTTCAGTTAGGATATTAAAGAGAAAGGAATGATACGGAAGTTCTCTCCCAAATTTAAGACGGGTAAATTAAAATGATACTATTTATGTAAATAAAAAATAAAAAATAGTGCACATTGAATTTCTCAATCTATACTTGTACAAATTTCAATATTCAATTTAGATTATTTTTTGGGATAGTATCTTCATAAATCGCACCATATATTGATTTCACCAATTTAGGGTAGAATTCTTCTGAAGGGTAGTCGTAGTCCGCAGTTTTTGACGGGTTTCATGTAGTATCTCTCTAATTAATGGACCCTATTTTATTCATTTTCAGTTCATATCCGAACCAAACCGACATTGACACACTGACACCTGGTAATTTTCAGCTTAAAGAATGTAATCCCTCCTTCCAAAAACCTAAAATGATTGTCCTGATTATCGTCCTTTACAATTTTGGGACGGAAGGCTAGAAGATAAACATAAAATGTCGAACATCATTCAGGATTTCCAATAGATTCTGAAACCAACTTTGTAAGGTAAATAATATGTCATCAATCTTCTACAGTCTATCAACATCAAGGTTGGCCTTGTTTCTCTTGCTTGAAGTATACAAAATGCATCCCCAAAGGTCGCCATTACTTTGGGAAGTATATGCGAAAACACAACCGCAGAAAGCGTCAAAATAGAAACAGAGCCAATTATTCATCAAATCCCAGGGGGAAAAAAAACAAAAGGATAAAGATGTTGGCTTGGCGATTGAAACAATGAAACATCCATGCAAAACACACAAAATCCATGCATAAATAAAAATGGCTCTGCTTTCAATGGGAAACTTTGCAAACATCCCTCTTTCTCTTCACAAAAACATCTCTACTCTGCAGAGCAAACAAGAGTACACAACTACCTAAAGGAGGATAAAACCAATCAGCACGCGGAATCTCTTATCTCTTATGAAATTATGATCATCAAACTGTAGGTATGACAGAATCTTTGTCATTATTGACCAGTGTGGCACATGTTTGTTGTCAATGTGTTCTTTCTTTACAGCCAAGAGACCACTGTCAGTCTACTACAACATGCAAAACTGAGGGCCTCAACTCTTGAGCTTTTACCCCTCAGATACATGTACTAGCTCCTAAGGTCTACAAAACACAAGTGTTCTGACTTAGGGCCAAATGGAGCAAATCAAATCCTCTGCCATGCACCATAGTTTCAGTAAAGAGAATGGTTGGCCAATACATAATAATGGGGCACAAATCCAATATTGAAGTTAGTCAGATATTCAACTTAGCCAGTTTAATGATTTACATGCAGACGCGAGTCACGTGACAATTTATAACTTTCCTAGATACAAAACCAGCAGATATTCCTAATGTTGTTCAATAACATAAAACCGGAGTGATAATAGCCCAAGACTAGGAAGCCCTCCACTATGTCAACTTAGATGTATCTTAGAGATCATAGAGATGATTTTACAGGCTTAATTCTGTCAGAGAGTAAAGTGATCCAATGCTTTTAACTAAAACGGGTTGCTGTAAGCTGCTTGTGTACTCTTTCTCTGTAGCTTTAACCGTAATTTCACAGATAGTTTGTGGGGCTCCTAATTCAGGCAGGCACCTAGGACCTAAAAGTGGGGCAACTTCCTCCTCATCCAGGATTGGCGCGTAAGCCCGATACTGGAAGCTAGAAACCAGAGAATGAGAACATTTTTCAAGGAACTTTCACATCCTGTTCAAGATTTACAGAATGGTTTCAAGTTGTTTGCCTACTGCTTTTCTGTAATTCACAAAAATGAGAAGAAGGTCCAACATATTCGTGTTTGAGAAACGTTTATAATATTCAACCATAAGCATACTGCCCAATCAATGTAGTTCTAACAGAAAGTGAAAACAGTTCTCCTGGCACTTGCCTTATAGCAGCCTAGCTGCATTAACTGGAAACAAACTTCTAAGTTTTTTGCAAGGATGAGAGCTCTCTGACTATACAAAACCCCAGTGTCCATTCTACTTAATGTCGACAAGTATGCATACTAGGATTAACTGAAACGTCTATAACACCATAGCTTAACCAAGAATAACAAACTCCATGAAAAATGAGTCCTTGACTGCCTTAACTACTATTAGACACCACATAAATTCACCACCAAAACTACAAGCAAAAGTTGCCATGCTGCAGCTCACAAATGAACCTCCAATGAAGCTTTATTACCAAGAACCTCCACATATCCGAAAAGGAGGAGGCAGCAACTGACACGTGAAACCATTCTACAGTGCAATAATTGCAGGATAGAAAAAACCAAGCAAATAAAACCTATGTAAAATCTTCAACAGATCAGGGGAATAGATTACAGTCACTGTAGCAAATATCTGTACATTGGAGCTCAATTTATTTAATGTTGATTACAACAGAAACGATCAATTTCAGCTGCCACATGTATAATTAGTTCCTGATCCGGTTAGTTTTAGTAAAACTTTTAACATAGCATACGAAGATTACAGAGATTCTGTAGTATGGAAACCTGCAGGTTGAGTTATGCTTTACCATCTCCAGGATGAACCGGTAGGGCTTTAGGGTCAGGTGACTGATATGATATTGAGATTAGTTTAGATCTATATTGATCATCTCCATCAGCATGCCCAGCTCCTAAGTTATTCTCCTTAATCCCCTTTTCATTTGAGTTAGCTGCTTCTTTATCTGGAGCGGTATATGAGAGGGCAATTAATGATTCCCGGGTTGCGTCCTCAGAAACCTCCTTGCCTGGGCCGTTTTTATCCATATAATAGCCACACCAACCTGCAAATATCAACAGAGTAAGAAACCAGAAAAACAATTTTCCTAGTTCATTCATACCTCTGACAAGATCACAAGAAAAGAGCATTGCTAAAAATAATTTGTGAACAGCAACAAGCCTTTAAGAACTCAGTTTTGAAATTATTCTATTAGCCTGTACCAGAAAAGAAAAAGGAATTATTCTATTAGTTTACGTAAAGTTCTACACCATGAAAGCTACTTCCCTCCCATGGTGATCTTTTACCATTCATAAGTCCATGGGGAAAAATAATGGAAGGATTCAGTTAAATCTTAGACTGTTAGCCATATGCTTGTTCCTCTCTAGCCAACAAAGGAATCAAGGAGACACATCATGACTGGAATGTGGGTAACAAACTAAAGGAACAAGTAATACGCCAAATATGAAAAGCAGAATGTGAGCAAGTCCTAACTAGATCATCAACCATGTCTGTGTCATGATATTGCACTCAGATGTTGATAAGATCTTTTGCTCAGCAGATCATTCTATAACAGTTTTACAATAGATTAACATTTGTTCGATTTCAAGTGAAGATGTCGACTAGAGAGTTTGGCACTCAGATACAAGGTGCACATTCATGAAATCACCCCATTCAAATTGTGATGCTGAGAATCGCATATCGATGACACTCGTTTCAGGATAACTTGTATAACCACGTAATACATCAAAAGCCAGGAGAGTTATAAACTTGAATCAAGCCCTTTGGAAAAATTTTCTCAAGCTCGGACAAAAATATCATCTCAGAGAAGCAAACCAAAAATACAGCAGCAACAAAAGATTCACAAAAAAGAAGGCATTCGAATAGAAACAATCAGAGCTTCCAGATTCCAATCCTTCAGAATTTACAGACCAGACATAATCAATTTTATCTTCTGTTTTCAAACATATAATTGTATCTCCTCATGCATTTTCTGTCACAATTAACTTCATCACTACTTGAAGGAGAGGATAACAAAAAAAAAAGAAAAGAGCTAAACATACTGGTACCAAACTCGTCAAAGAAATGCTGCGTCTAAATCAACAGAAAAATGTATTGAGTCCTATTTAATTATCTTTGATTGAAGAAAACAAATGTTGCATAAAAAAACTCTGGCCTTGTTAACTTATTGATCATCCAAAACCTGCTAATATCCATTCATCATATCGAAATGGAAAAAACTTCGCAATGAAGACATGAAAATCCACCTCAAAAGAGAAGGTCTAATAGTAAAGACATTACTTCAACAACGAGAAAACTGGAGTTCAACCAAAGAAGGGGGATTGGTGGCTGCGAATTTTCTGTATCCCTATCTATTCAGAATTCAGAACCATCTCCAGAGCTAATTTTCTTCCTTAATCAGAACCAGAAACCACCAATGGCCAAAGCAAAACAAAATTTACAAGCTAGGCAAGGAAATAATTATAACTTCATCCGGAAATTCCAACACAAGAACAAGAGAAAAAGCGCCAAAAGGTTAAACAAAATCAACCATAAAAACACAAGCTTGCTCAGAAAATCCTCACGAACAAGGAATCACGAGCACAAAGTTGATCTAACTATATATATATATAAAAAAAAAAAAAACAGAAAAGATTGGTTCTTTATCATGCTATACAAATATCTTGCCGGCCAACAACCCCAGAACAGATAAGGACGTGCAAAACAATCATCTAACCAAAAAAAAAAAAAAAACAGATTCAAGAGGGCAAACCTTAACAAGAATTTCACAAAAATAAGGACAAGAACTAAAGATTCTTGATCAGAAAAATTACCTGAAGAAGAGAGGAGAAGGATCGATGGAAGAAGTAAAATCCGAAAGCCTTAGGATTGTCAACGGATGGAATCGGGTGGTCAGCTTTCTACTGCAACAAAACTACGATACTATTTTTAAATGGCGGTTACCCGTGCCCTGCACGTGCTATTTTGAAGTCTCCAACGTCTGTATATCCCGTTGCTTTTCTTCTTTTTTTGTTTTTCCTTTTTCCTTTTTTACACTAAAAAGAATATTTTTGTTCACAAAATAAAGAAATAAAGTAATTGCTTTTTTATTTTTTAAAACTTCTATGGATTCTTTTTCCTGTTTTTTTTCCAAAATATAAATATCTTGTTCTCAAATTAAATAAATAAATAAATATAAATATATTATTATATTTATTTAGGGTATCAATCAACCTGTAAAATATCATATAAAATGGCACAATATATTCAAAAAAACAAATTAAAAATTAGCGATAGACAGAAGTACGACATGACCCTTGTCCATTTTTTAGTAACATAAATCCATCATCGAGTTATAACTAAAAAAAGTAACTACTAGTTTTATTACGTGACATAATCGTGATACTCATTTTGATCTATTATGCATCTCTACATCTAGTATTAAGTATGGTTCATACAAAAACTAATATAGCTTTATAATATCTTTTGTTTCATTTCATCTAGAACTATCGAGAAAAATTTGTTAAATTTATTTAGTGGAAACAATCTTACAATGCTTTCTAATGCAAAATTTTTCTACCCCACAAAAACAAACTCAGTTAACCAAGACGAAATCAACCAAAATGTCACTCACAAATATTAAAAGAAACATTATAGAAGAATTGAATTGTATGAATTATGCCAACAAGAAATCAACTATTAGAGATGGTCAATCTGGAATTGTTCAAGGATTTATGTCCTGTGATTGTAATTCAATTAAACAAATACACATAATGAATGTAACTACTTTTATTTGTTATACACGGAACGGATTATGTTAATGTGTTTCACAGTTTGTAACTCTTTAAACTGTCATAGCTTGTGCTTAGAGTGATAATATAAAGGGGCTAAGCAATTCCTTTCTCTGCATGTTGAGGATTCGGAATTATAAAATTATTCATATCTTTCGAGAAATGAATAGTGTGGCAGATGAGTTTGCTAAAGAATCCTCTAAGGGGTGCACCTTGCAATATTCTTCCTATGGAACTTTACCGGCATCATTAAGAGGTAAGATCTATCTAGATCAAAACCATTTTTCCTATCTAAAGGTTAGATAAAGTGATTGAGATATAGAATAGGTAAGTAGAGATGTCAGGTTGTAAGACATCCTCTTAGTTTACTTAGTTATATCAAAAGAGAATCTAGACGGAGTTTTTAGGGGATTAATGTTTAATCTTTATAAGATATACTCCTAGGCTATAGAGTTTAGATAACTGAACTGTTATGGGATATTAGCATATCTTTGCAAGACAGTTCATAGTGGTAAAAGTATCAAGAACCGTCATAAGCTTTTAGTAAAACTTTGTAAGACGATCTCTTTCTGTTTGGATAAGTCTTAAGCACTGTCCTGTGTAATTTTTTCCTTTTGATTAATAAAATCGGGGGATGCCCGCCAGGTACCGTCCTGGTTCACCTAATAAAAAAAAGTTAAAAAGGTTTCGTTTAAAATGAAAAGTTTCACATATACTTACTGACTGAAATCATCCATATGACAAAAATATTCTCATTGATTATTAGTGTAAGAACTAATGATATTATGTTGAATATGATAATAAAAAAAACCGTAAAAAGTGAAATGATTTTTTCTGCTGTAAAACGTATGTTCCATGTAATGAAAAACTATGTGTCCATCTTGTTAAAAAAAAAAAACAAACAAACAAACAAACAAATAAGAAGGGAGAAAAAAAGAAAAAAAAAAAAGCCAATGTAGTCAATAGGCTCTACTCCAACACAGGAAAATGGTTGGGTGACTTTTTTGTTTTTGTTTATTTTCTTTTGAGAAGGATAAAGCATATTGCTTCCGTTTTTTATATGTTGCACTAGTGTGAACTTAACATGTTATTTGTCGCACTTCATTTCAAATATAGCATTAAATATAATTTTTTTCTAAATTTAACTCTTATTACTTTCTTTTTGAAATAGCACATATTAATGATAACCACTTATTATTAGGAAGTGAATAACAATCTATTGGTTAGGATGCTATATGTCCTTAGAGTACACTCAAATTCAATTCTCACAACAAGTTTGTAAAAGAGGGTTCACTCACATTTAAGTAGGGTCCATTAGTGTGAATTTAGAAAAATAATTATTATTTCACTTTAAACTTTAATTCTTATATTAACTCCAATACTTTTAAATAGGGACCAGAGAGGTATTACACTAAAAAATTACAATTTCGATTAATATTTTCTTATTATCTGTTCAACAGATATGAAAAAATGAAAGTAGTGATTGTTTTAGTTTTTTCAACTGTGTAACTTCCTAAAGATAGAAATAAAAATATTCTATAAAATATACATTTTTTTACGTATACTTGTTTCATATTAGCATTGTATTTTTTCTTTGAGGATAGTGAAAATGAAAATTACTCTTTTCCTATCTTTGGTTGCTCTTTTTGTTTTAGCCGCCATCCAAGAAGTTAGCTCTCAATGGAGAAAAACATTTCTTTACCTCTTTCTTTTCTTCAAAATACAATCTAGAGTTCTAGTAAAGAATATAAGCAACGTGTATTATCCGTCTATTTCTAGTTTTAGTGGTTTGTCTGGTTTCAGTTTATTAGTACGGTCGATTTTAACTTTAGGTTACTCCTTGTTTTAGCTTTGGTGATACGCCTGTGTTTAGATCTTTCCAACTCTTGTTATAGTTTTGTAGTTTGAGTTCTTCTTTTTTTTAAGCAGTTAGATTTCTATTTAGCTGGTCTTTTAAACCTTTCTCCAAGAGCGACATTGAATAAAGAGAAGATCACATTAATTTTGATCGTTTTAACATTTATGTGATTTAGAACCTGTACAAGTAAAAAATTTAAGGGACTCTTAATTTAATTCAACATATTGTATCAACATGTAGATTATTTTGAATGTTAAGAAATCATGGAATTGTGGTTGGAGAAACATATAATTTTTGAGTTCATATTCGATTAATCAAACTCAAGAATCATAGAGTTGTGGTTGAAGAAAAATATAATTTTTTAGTTCATATTCATGTAATCAAACAACGAGAAAAAGGTTGTTTAGTGAGGTTGAATTCGTGACCAACAGTGTTCCCTACAATGTTTATAAAAAGTATTAAAGGATTGCATTAATAGATTGGAGTCTTTAAGTGTGTTAAATTTTTTCCTTATTTTAGGTTCGTGCAAAAGTTTATTCATACGTAAAGTAATTTGGCCACGTAATGAATTGGGCATGGGATTATTTTTCTGTCAATAAGTGTCTTCTTGGAGAGTTATAGCGGGCCATAGGCAGAAGATGTACCTTGTGTTCTGAGATAGCATACGACCAATTAAGTTATTCCCCGTGATAACGTGTTTTGCAAGTGTGAAATAACACATAAACTTTTTTTTTTTAATCAAAACTCAATATACGATGAAGGGTTGTATCCAAGTTCGTAGATACAATTTTACTTGAGCAATTCTTTTCGATTACTCAACTAACTACATGAAAAGTTGTTGTTTAATTTGTTTAGCAAAGATACTATCATTTAAATTTAGTTTTTATTGTTTGTGCTAGAATTTTGATATGTTATTACGTAACAAAATAATTTGATTGATATTATTGATTATATTATGATTTAATTTGGTATAATTATATTACATTTATGTCAGTGTATTTTATCCAAAAAATAACCAAAGATTATCAGTGTGTTTTATCCGAAAAATAACAAAGAAGAAGGCACTAACTCGAAATTATATTCATTATTGGATATTTGAACATTTAAAGTGTATAATGAACTCGTTGATGAAGATAACACCAAATACAAACACAAGTATATAATGAACTCGTTGATGAAAATAACACCAAATACAAACACAACTTTTTCAGAGCAAATATAAGTGCAACCAGCTAAATTGTGAACTCCTGATTACTACTTTAGTTATTCTCATCTGATTGGAATTGAATTCATATATAGTAGTTAATTGTATTTAGTTTCTTTAAGATTGAATACATTATATTATAGTTAATTACAATTAACTTTCCTTTTTAATTTATTTTGAAGTGGTCGATGTTTTTCCTCAGTTGTTTGATTATTTTTTTGAATTCAGGTGAATTAATAAATGATGTTAACATTTAGTTAACAAATAGTCTACTCCCATATTTCAATAGATCCATATTTCAACATATCCAAATTTTTCTTCTTTTTTTTTTAGGGGGAAGAAAACATAACACAATTATCAAATAATCATAGACTCTCTTTAAAAAGTGACAACTCTATTCACATTTTTTTGGTCTAAAATATTTGTAAGAATGGTGGGCGAGAGTGGTTTTCAAAGGCAGACATAAACAAAGTTAAACGAGGGTTATATTATGACGTGCCAGAAACTGTAAGGGACGTAATGGGAGAAAGTGTTGAAACTTTTTGAAGAAGCGGAGACTCTACAATAGATTATGATGAACTTTTGGGGAATATATGAAAAAAGAAAAGGAGAAGAAAGCAACGAAGGAGAAAGTAAAGGAAGAAAGGCGAAAGTAAAGAGAAGAAATAAAAAAAAAAGGAGGAGAAAGCAAAGAAGGAAAATGAAAATATGGAAAGGCGAAAGATAATGGAAGAAAATGAGGACTGTTTTTTGTTGTTGGATGGGGATGGAGTTTTTGAGGAAAAAAATGGCCCAGAAGAGAGAAAATAGGTCGTCTGCGGGAGTAAAGAGAAATACCTATCGGATTTGTCAAATCCGACCTTTACCTTAAATCGGATTTCACAAATCCGAGTTTATGTTGATACCAAAAATTAATTAACTTAATCAAGATTAAAAAAAAATTAGATTTCCAAAATCTGCCTTTTGCAAATAAACAAATAATATCTAGAAAAAACTAAGTTTTTTTTCCCAAAAATGAAATTTTGACTAAAGTTATATTTCACAAATCCGAGTTTTACCATTAAAATAATATTCTAGGGAGAAAACACTTAATTTTTTTTTGCGAA